AAGAAGGGAAGAGATTGTCATAGCCTGCTTCGCAGCTATCCATTTTACGTTTATCCATTTTGTTTTTTATTTAACATTCCGTTTTTGAATTTCATCTGATCTGACTCTCATTCATGTGGCTTTTCGTCAGTTTGAATTTTGTCTTTTGATTTTCACCTTTTTGACATTTATCGCTTCAGACTTTTTAACTGCTTGATTATTATTACTTGACTTCTATCATTTTGACCTTTGGCTAATTTGCCCTTTATTCCTTTCAATATTTACCTTTTTGCATTTGACTTTTATTCCATTTTCCCTTTGCCATTTAACTTTTTTTTGACCCGTAACTCGCATCTTTGGGTCCGTAGTGGATGACGCCACTGACGTCAACGCGTGCCTGCGGCACTTCACGCCTGCGTTGAACGCTGTGATAAACTGCCACCGCCTAGTTAGAAGAACGCGCGTCTCCAAACTGCAGTATCCCTGGCTGACCGACGACCCGGCCCGCGAGAGCTCACGTCCGAGCGAGACAGGGTGCGCAGTACCTGGCCACGTCCTCGCACATCGGAGAGCAGGTCCGACTTTACACGACTTCGCAATCAGGTTAAGAGCCGCCTTATTGCAGCAGGGTGCGAGTCCCTTTGCGGTGAGATAGTGCACGGTGACCGCCGCAGCTTCTGACTTCCCTTCAAGGGGTTTGCCATGGCAGGTTCGTCGCCGATCGAGGCCGCGTCTGCGGTGAGCCCCGAGGAGGCCGAGGTGACGGCGGGCAAGCTCAGCCACCACTTCGCTGCCGTGGGCCCCGCATCGCAGCCGACCTGCGGAGCGCAGCAAATGCCAGCGCCAAGAAACCCGGACCGCCCACCGTCTGCGCCGCTGGCTTCTCGTTCCGACCTGCGACGCTACCAGAGTTGTCACGGTGTGCTCAGCGTACCAGTACATCGCAGGCGGTGGGCCTGGGTGAGGTCCCACCCCAGGCTGCGCGGGAATGTTTTTCAGTGGTCGGTCTTTATCTTTTAAGCGCATCAACTTGTCTCTCGTGACCAAACTTTCCCCAGATAGCTGGGAGGCGACATGTGTTATACCAGCTCCGACGTCAAGTCATCGGGCTTCTCAGCGTGCTCTCTAAGATCTTAAAAAAGCTGGCTTACACACAGCTGACGGAATAGTTTAACGCGACGGCGCTGCTGCACCCATCTCAGCATTCCCATAGGTCGCGTCACTCGACCGAGGATGCCGTGCTCGCCGCAGTCGAACGCGTGGTCACCAACACCGACGACCGTCTTGTATCGTCGGAAAGGACGATCGATTTGTCGAAGAGATTTGAAAGCGCTGAAGACGACTTCCTCCTCACCAAACTATCTTGGCATGGCCTTGCCGATGTGGAACGGATTAGGAGCCATAGGTGCCATGATTAGAAGCCCTAAGAGTGGTCGAGGGCAGGCGGTGCGTGAAGGGCGGCTCACTCCTCCCATGCCATGCGGTGTACCCCAGGGCTCGATCATCGGTTCAGCTTTATTTTCATTTTTTGTTTGCCAACGATCTATTTGGACGCTTGACTCATGGCCACCATATCTCCTACGCGGACGACACCATGCCGTGGACTGCGCACTCCCTGACGGACCGGGTTTCGCCGACATCGAAACCAGACGAAAACTTACCATGCGCGAGCTTCAGAACTGCTTCAGGGCCGATTGTCTCCAATTGAACGAAACACAAATTATTTTATGTTCGTTGGGTCAAATCAAAATGTAAAAAGTCAGCTGATTTTCACTTTAAAGTACACGGTTTGACCAGGCATGCCTCAATTAGCACCAAAATTAGCACCAAAATTAGCACCAATTAGCACCAAAATTCTGGGCGTCATAGTTGACCCCGGTCTGTCATGACCCCGGTAGTTGACCCCGGTCTGTCATGACCCCGGTAGTTGACCCCGGTCTGTCATGGGGTGCCCATGTCTCGAGCGTCGCGAAAAAATGCAATGGCATCCTAGTTTCTCTACAAATTCCGTAATTACTGTACTTCAGATCTTTTCAAAATCATTATCCAGACGTGCGTATTTACTCATATCATGTACTGCCTGAGGGTGTGGGGTAGGGCGAACAAGAGTCAGCCGCACAAAATTTAAAAAGTGGTCAACTTTGTTGCAAGAGTAATAACCGGCTCTAAAAAACACCACCACTTAACTCCGGCTCTAAATTCCATTGGATGGCCAAGCATCAAGGTGATGGTGACGCACCGCGACGTGATAAAAGTGTTTGAGGCCTTGAAGGAGGTAGGCGCGCCTCACGCTTTTTGTCCCACGCGCCGCTGTTTCGAGTCGTGAAACGCGCACCTCGGTCAGAGGTAGTCTACACCTGCGCAGACACCAACCGGCCACCACGCAGAGGGCGTTTTCGTATCGTGCCGCAGCGACCTGGAACCGCCTGCCGTCGTGCGTGCGCCATGCCCTAACGCTGAACGCGTTTAAGACAGCCGTACTTGATGTGATTTTAACCACTGAAAATTGATCTCATCCGCCCCATAGTGCGTCCACTGAGTCCTGTTTTACCCTATGGCGACTGTTCGTATAATTTTTGCATACCCTTTGCGTGTCTTTTCATAATGCAGCTATTTGACCTGAAACCGTAATAGGCACAATGTGGATGGCTTCCAGTATACTGCTACTGCTATTGCTGCTGCTGCTGCTGCTGCTGCTGCTGCTGCTGCTGCTGCTGCTGCTGCTGCTGCTGCTGCTGCTGCTGCTGCTGCTGCTGCTGCTGCTGCTGCTGCTGCTGCTGCTGCTGCTACTGCTGCTGCTGCTGCTGCTGCTGCTGCTGCTGCTGCTGCTGCTGCTGCTGCTGCTGCTGCTACTTCTACTGATACTGCTACTTCTACTGCTTCTGCTGCTGCTACTGCTGCTGCTACTCTAGTGAGTAATGCAGGGACGGCGACAAGCCTGGCGCTCTAACTACACCCTCATCTGAAAAACAGACACGCATTGGCACCCCGACTTCGGAACGCACGAGCACTCCTATCGCTCTTGGCCACGCCCGCCGCACGCTTCCTGCATGCGCACTGAAACTAGCATTGTGTACGCTCTAGTTCTATCGATCGTTCGTTGCTGCATGAGCGTGTACGGTTCGTGTGACGTAACACAAATTACTCGCGCACAGAAAATTGCCAACTTTTGTAGGCAAATACTCAATGGGCCAGACGCTGCCATCACATCTCAGATGTTATCGAGCAGCTTGGTTGGCTGCGAGCAGCTAACTCAGTCTAGTACCGTTTATTGATTTGGCTGCGGAGCAGCGACTTTCCATTTCCAGGGGGTGAAAAGTTGCATCTCTGTGAAGCACTTGGAATAGAACGCGATTCACGGATACATATGTCTTGGTAGCTCAACACGTTAAGTCACGGGTGTCGATTCGTATTCTTTTGTGAGGGCCCCAGAAAAGGCCCAGAAATGACGCGTACGTCCAGTGCCTGCTGCCTGGATCCAGCCCTGCATGACTTCTATACTGCTTAGATTAAATACTGTTATAAACTATACAAAGATTAAAAACATATATGTCCGCCCCGGTGGCTCAGTTGGTTAGAGCGCCTGCATTCCTATCCATCCATCCATGGCATGGTGGGTTCGAGTCGCTTTAGGGCGCTCGCTATTTGCCCTTGGCAGGTATGACTTGCGGCCGGCGACAACGGTCGCGCTAAAGGTCAGTTGACGTCAGAGGGCAGGACGGACCGTGCTGAGCATTGCGGCACGTTAAGCTTTCGCCACTGAATTCTGTCGTTGCCTGGGATTGCGCGATCGGATGCTGGGGGTCATGGCTCACACAACAAGCACTGCTTAGCATGAGCGCTGATCCCAGAAATCCATGCATTCGAAGGGTTTTGCTCAAATTTATATTAAAAATATATACTGTGTTTAATCAAAATGAAATTGACTAAATCCGGTGAAAACAATTGAGGGGGGGGGGAGGGGTTAGGTTGTCGGACCTTTGGTTTGGCCTTCCATTAATTTATAAAACTTGGCATCCCTGGTTTATGTCACGATCAATGAGAACAGATATCGTGCATCAAACGTGGGAGGAGGCAAAACGACGTCTTCACGTAGAATAACAGCTACAGACGGGAGCCTTTCAAGGAAGCTTTGAGTGTACTGCCATGGTGTGCTTAGATAAAGAAATCACAGTGGACTTGCACGACCTTCTCAACAAACATATGTACAGCTGGAATGCGTATTGAAGAAAAGTTTTCAGCTCCTGGTTTTTCGGCAGAACAGATTCAAAGTTCTTCTGTTGTGTTAATGAACTTCAATGTACCATGAGACATTGGTCAAACTACGTTGTAGTGCTAAATATCGATTACATTGATGGTATTGCATATTTCAAGCTGTGCTCATCGAGGAGTGTACGCTGCCACCAGTAAGCTACGCAATTTATCCTCCATTTTTCATGCATTTCATCCTTTTCATTCATTTTCATCTTCAAGTCTTAGTTGACACTTACTTTGACTTCCACTCATTTAATCCTGCCCTTCATTCATTTTCATTCATCGCCCTCCATTCCTCATTCATTCACATCAGTGTGTTTAGCTGTTGTCATCCTCAATAGTGCACCTTCACACACTTTTCACTTTCAAGCTGGAAAACAACCCTCAATATATGTTGATGTGTCGCTCAACATAATATTTGTGGTACAACCAGGTGGACGATCGGGAGCACGTGGTTGTTGGCTTTGTTGTTGTATGTTGAGATAATGTAGAACTGAGGAGAGCGTGAGGGTCGGCGTTATCAATGCAGGTAGTAACAACCAATTAGAGTTGAGAGGGGAAGAGGTAATGTACGGCATAGGGTCGTATATTTACCAAAAATTGAATGCGTATGCTAACAGTTCATTTGGAAGACGGCTTTTAAAACTATTACGTCTGTTAATACATTCGCATACAATCAAAGCCAAATTTCCGCAGATGTGGGCGGACAGCTGCCCCTTCTGCTCCCAAATCTACCGCTTCTCGTCACCAGCGTTTCTGCCCACGCCTTATTTGACGCGTCGGCAAAACAACACGCCGTCGCCAAGGTTGAGCAGGCTGGCGTGGACTCGTGGGTCTGAGGAGGCCCGTTTGTTCATCTCGTGGATGGTGCGCGTGTTCTCGTCCATGGCGTCCTCATCCCCCAGCACCCTGGCGCCTCTGAGGGCGTTGTCGGCGACCAGGATGCCGCCAACGCGCAGCAGTTGCAGCGTTAACTCGTAGTAGTTGAGGTAGTTGGTCTTGTCGGCGTCGATGAAGGCGTAGTCGAAGGTGCCAGCCTCGCCTCCGTTGATCAGCGCCTGCCCGGGAACGGGTGACAGAACGGAACGGGACACAGGGGCCGCCCGCCGGGCTCGGCAGCCATGGGCCAGCCGCTTCTGAGACGATGCAGAACAGTTGAGCATCTCGTGTCACTAACGTGTCAATCGGTATGGCGGTCAGCTACGTCGACAAGAGCGAGAAGAGCACCGAGTGTTAGGAGAGAGTGGACTGGTCCACTCTGCCGTGGACCAGTCCACTCTTAGTCCACTCTTTTATTAAAATCAGGAGTAAAATATGAGCCCGAGGCAACCTGAAGCTCCACTGATCGATATGCTGTTAGCGGAAAGTTTGCGCACAGTGAGCAGATCAAACGTACTGGCTAGTGTCTGCACTGCTTAAATCTTGTGATTGTGTCGCGTCGTGTTGCGATGTTCAAACTCAGTTATTTACATCATTCTTATCTGAACTTGCTGTAACTTTGATATCACGAAAACAATGATTCGCTTACGCCCAGATCCCGAGCAAAAGTCGCGACACTACCTGTCTAGATTACCTAGAAAGTGACAAACGCAACGTTTATACCTATGTTTAGTGGCGCAGCCCGGATTTTCTTCAGTGTGGTGTCCGAGGCTCAGTCAGCATGCATCACGCCGACTCTTGAACTCTGTATCGGGAGCCCTCTAGGGTAAAAAACGAAAAAATCCACGTCTAAGGCACGGCCTCCCTTGGCTGCGCCCCTGCCTGCGTCGGCCCATCGTCCTCAGCCTGTCACGTGTGGTGAGGCGCCATGTACGCGGTAAAGCTTGGTACCCCAGCTGGGTGTCGGCAGGGACTTTTGCGCGATTCAACGTCTCGACTGGAGCGTGACCCGGCCATGACACAGGTAGGCGGCCTCGTATTGGCTTCGGTGTTGAAAGTTATTTGTGGGGTTGCCTTACAGCAGGCGATATGGGTGCATGGTAAGCACTAAAACGTCTATATTGCGGCACCTTCAGGAGTGCTGTATGAAGTCTGAATTCGTACCTGAAGAGTTTCGGTGGCTGGGGCGATCCTCAGGTCGATTTTGTTCTCCACACCGGCCTCTCGCCATACTGGACGACCATATTTGTTCAACCATTTGTCTGTGACGTCACAGGCAGTAACTTTGCCGTCAGGTGGCAGGACGAGAGCGGCGGCCAGAGCGCTGCGAAAGACGGTCACGCTGTTGTGTCCGCATAAAGTAAATAAGCATAGCTGCGATAGGAAGCTCGCTCACCCAATTTACACCAGACCAAAATGTAGATCGGAATATACCGCCAGAGCGCTGCGAAAGACGATCACACTGTTATGTTCACACAAAAGTAAGTCGACGCATCTATAAAAGAATCCTTCCATAGTACATCCACGGCAAGGTGAAGGTTAAACAATTTAAGTCACCGCATGGTGAATTGCTTTGTTTAACCTATGGCTACCTTACACTCGCTGGCACGCAAAGTACACCAGAAATCCCCTCCCCCCGCCCCCGCCCCCCGCAAGCGTTGCTACAAGGTTGGACGCACAGGGGTTCAGCCAATGACCTGCGTAGTTTATGCAGTTCTTGGCCATACAGTGTTACAGGGAGGCCTCCGTACTTTCCTCACCCGTTTGCGATGCCGATGGTTGCATCCTACTGCAACCCATCTAAGTTTTGGAGAATGCGGGCTCCATTTTCAGCTCAGGTATGTTTGCCTGAAAATGGTCGTTTTACTTCTAGATGATTTCGGAAGTCAAAGCATCCGAATATTTACCAGCACATAAACTAGCGCCCGTGGAAGAGTCCTGTGTTTTGAAGGTCATTCTGCATAATCACATTAATGACCAAGTGCCTGGGAACTATACGTAATGCAAAAGCTGCAGGCGATTTCGGACTTTCAAGCATTTTGATATTCACCAGCGTATAAACTAGCGTCAGTTAAAACCTCCTGAACCTTCAAGGTCACGCTTCGAGGCCAAACTGAAGGTCAAATGAACGTTCCACGCACACACACACACACACACACACACGCACACACACACACACACCCCTGTTTGTAAGCCCTCCCAAGTGGGGACCGCGCTGGACTACTACAGAGTGGGGACCACTTACACACCTCTTTAAACATGAGCTAGCGTTACGAAATTAACATCTTAGTGCTGCTGAAAACCCGAAAAGTGCGATGGTAAGCATTTCGTAGGTCTAGCGATAAGGGATCAATATCCGTAGGATGCTGCGAAGCGGGGACCAGCTAATATGACGTCAAAGGTGCGTCATACGCCTTACACTTAGCAAGCTAGGGACCGGTCTCCGCATTGTAATGTGTATCTAAATTGCCCTCATTCATGACATGGAAAGAAAGGGAATTTGGGTGATAACGTCGCTTCGGTCACGTTGGCGAACCAACTGACATGGAAATGGAACATGGTTGCTGATGCCTTGCCTGCACATCCTTTGTTTTGGAAGGAGCCGTGATATTATATCGATCTGTGCTATATCATGTCATATTTGTATACATTGTATTATATTGTTATATCTGCATTATATTGCAGTATATACTGCTATATTTGTAGCTTATTGTAATGTTATGTGATGTTCCCATTATGTTGCATTATATTGTTATATTTGATTATATTGTATTATATTATGTTATATTTGACACATGGCAAGAGCTACACGCAATTTTTCGGTTTGCAACAGATGATTTTCACTTCTTATGCCTACTTTTATGCTACATGTTATGCCTTGTTCATTACAGTCCAAAATTATGTCTCTTCGTCTGCGTTCGAAACTTTTTCCAACAAGTTGACGCCAAAACTTTGTCAAGACAGGACGCATAACATTGTGTGCGAATTAAAAGTTGCCAAACTATGTGGTATTACATCACATTAAGGCGGTCGATTTCAAAGTATGAATAATGCGTAAAATGAGAACAGTACAAAAATCTGAACCTCCATGCATTTTTCAACATTCCGAGTTCTTCCGCTGTCTTTTCATTATCCCTGTCTTCGGTACCTGGCCGGTACCTGTCTGACCAGCCCACGGCGTAGATGAAGAACAATCACAATAACAAATCACTGCCTTGGTTAGTCAGGCGACGTCATATGACCTCAGCAGGTGAGTGCGTCGTAAAGCCCCAATGATGACGACGACAACCACGATCAATCGATAGTCCTGATCGACGACGATCGACGAGTCCAGATCGACGACGATCTGGGGCAGGTCAGGTCAGTCAGCTATGCAGGTCACAAAATCGGTTTCAAACTTCTTGACATAGGTCACTACTGCAATCTGTGAGGCAATGTTGAGGTCTCAAGACGCGGACTTTCTGCTATTCGTTTTGAGTTTTTGTGTTATTTCCATGTGGGGAGGGCAGCATGAGACAGCAAATCCATCAGTTCCGATCACAGTCCACCACAAACACACTCTTGTGCAAAGGTTTCTTAGTTTGTTTGCGAACGGATCAAACAACCACACCGCAAAGCAGGGGTTGCAACATAACACAACAGAGGATCTAACGTCCGGAGCCTCTCGAGCTTGCAGGTAAAAGAACATTGCCACCGCAAGGCTGCGATTGCACACAACGCAGCAGGGGATCTAGATATGGAGCATTCCAAGCTTTCAGCTGAAACTACATTTCCATGGTACACTTGTGCTTCTGGATCACATTGTATGTACAGAACTTAACATCCTTCCAGGAACGCCGGCACAGTGCACAGACTTCTCCTTCAGTGCCGCTAGGCAGTCTGCCATTCCTGAGCACTTCAGAGAACCGATAAATGGCTTCATGCGCCTCTGTATAACCTCCTTTTCTCTTTCAGTCACAGCACGCCCCTCCTTTTGGCTTTGGGCCGTCTTTCATTAATCCTTGGCCCCCTGGGTGGTCCGTTTTCTGCTTCAGCTTGGGGATCGGAAGCCATCTCTTTAGCGTTCTTCACCCCCATCTCCACTCCCATGTCGTCAGGGGCAATAATGCTAGCGCTGTCGTTTATTTCGACACTGGGAGCGGAACCACCTTCGACGACATCGTAACTGCTGGGATCAGGTCATCCAGGGTCTTTCCCTGCGAATCCGCCGATCCCTTTGGCCATCGCGAGTAGTATTTTACTCACTTTGGCAGCATGCACCGTCTTTTCGGGAAGTCTATAGAACTGCCTGTGGACACGTATGTCATGGCCCATAAAGCGGGCCACGATATCCACTTCAATCTCGCTCAGTTGCAGCAGCTGCAGCATAGTAGCCACATGCTTTCTGTACTTCGTGACTGTGATGTTGTTGACACGTGCCCTCCGCGCGAATGTCCGCGCGCAGTCGCTGCCTCTGAGCGTGCTCGCAACTGGGGCTGCGCTGTTGAAGAAAATGTGTGGACAGTCGAGAGGGATCCCAACGTCTTTCCTCGCTGCGATCAGCTGATCAAGCGCCCCTCGCATTGTGGCTGTCAGCATGATGGGCACATCGCCTCCTTTTTTGCTCCGAACCACTATATCTCCCAGCGAATGGCACAGCCCTCGCTCTAAGGGAGACAGGTGCTGCAGGACATCTTCATTGAGAGTTTGGTCCCTTTCAGTGTATGATCTGACCGTAGGCCTTGACGCTTCTCCCGGCCTTCGCCGGTTAAACAAAATGATGGATGCCAACGCAGTCTCCGACAATTTAACATAGTTCTTGATAGAGCGTTCCTCTTCCAACAGCCGCTGAGCCTGCACCAACTCATCCCGCACCTCCTTCGTTACACTCTGAACATCCGCATTGAGGGGAAGGTCGACGGGCTTATTCCACTTCCTTTCCTAGAGAGTGGTAAGCGCACGAGAAGACACGTGTAGCTTCCAATCTCGTTGGTAGAGCAGGAGGAAATCGTCCGCAGCCGTCCTCGGGGTGGCGTCTTCGTTGGTGATCCCGCGCGTTTTCAGTATCCGCGCGCATTCGCTGAGGCCATAACCAAGCTTGAGAGCAAGCGATAGGCTATGATATTTGCCCTCCTTCACACCGGCCATGTTCTTGACCGCGCCTACCACTTCCATGAACTTCGCGGGGTGAATAAACATATCTAGACCTGATCCTGGGCTTGATACATTCAGCTCCAGCAGCAGTCGTCCTAGCTGCCGCATTTTTTCTCTGATGTGTGCATGTTAGTGGCGCTCGTGGCCCAATCTTGTGTATAGACGGGCCCCGAACTCCATGATAAAGGCATCATGCCTGCAAGTGGACGAAATACTATCGTCCCGCATCTTCGCCATCAGGTTTTCTAAACCAGCCGCGGCATCTCTGTGGCACGGCAGCAAGGATCTTGCCTGGGACTGGACTCGGCCCCCAGAGGCAGTTTTCCCATGGGCGTGGCACCGATGCCGAAAGAGGCCGCGTCTAGAAAAGACACCGTGAAATTTCCCACATGGCAGCATATCTTTCACGTTGAAATTCATATCTTGGGGTGGACGCCTCTTGGGGACAATCGTTCCTCGCCCATCTCGGAAAACAGCAGTTATGTTTGAAGTTGACTTTATGAATGATACCTTCCAGAGTGATTCTCCTCTCCCCTGATCCTTTTGGAAAGGCGAGCGCGTCAAGTACGTCGGGTTCTCGTTTATGCTTCCGGAAAAGATGGCGTGCAAATTTTGTGTGCAGGGTATCACAATAGGGGCAAACGTTCCGCTTTAGGGATGGCTTTCTTGCTTTAGGAGATATTTCAACAGAGACACTGTGTTCGCCGGAAGCCCTACTGCTGTTCTTGGCCACTACCTGGGCCTCATCCTGGTCCTCGTCCTCGTTCTCGTCTTTGACTTCCTCCATATCCTGGTTCTCGTCCATATCCTTGGACTTGCCCTTGTCCTCGACCTCGTCCATGTCCTCGTCCATGTCCTGGTCCTCGTCCTCGTCCGTGTCCGCTGCTGGCCGTGGGTCGGGGAGGTACGTACGATCTTCATCTTCATCGTCATCAGGAATGAGGCCAGAAGCATCATTATCATGATCTGCGGACAGACCGATCGCCATTGGTTACCTAATGACGAGTATTAAGCAAAAACGAAAACAAAAAAACAGTACGTCGGAAGAAGGATCGTTCGAGTTACTCAACGATGCGCTACAGTGCCAGACCTATCGGAGTTGCGATTCTTATGCCGAGGGGACCGAGACACAATGCGCCGGTGGTCAGAGGCGAACCAGGGTACTTTGGGCTCCGAAGCCAACGCCTTAGCCAACTAAGCCACATGGCCAAGTGGCTGTTTAACCAAGGGGACATCCATTCATGGGGCGTCGGTCTACTGACCCCGCTCGGTGCTAGAATACGGGCAAGTGCATGGTTGGCCACAGTTACTCTGTGATGCCTACTACATGGGATCACGTTGGTGCGTGTGTCCATGCGTATGTTTCAAATTCTATGAACAGTTTCTTTCATGGACGGAACAAAAATGTTCGTGATGACTGGTATCTTGGCAAGTACAAAAGAACCACTTTATATCCAACTAAAAGCAAGCAAAAAACAATGAAGACACACAAGCTGCAAAACGTTACGAAACAAAGCAATGAGCAAATTTCCCGCGCAGAGCAGTTGGGATTTGCAGCAATGACAGACAGTCTATGCCATGACACATTATTTTGTTAGGTGGTATCTACCACTGATCAGTTTTAGACCCAAAACAGAGCACAATCACCCTTGGTTGCTACACCTACTTTCAAAGGGCACTGTGCGATCTGATGCTCTCAGCTTATGCTGCTGCTCACGCTTCACTCAATGCTTTAAGAAACATTTTTTTTAACCATGCACCAACCTTTCTCAAATATGACCGGATTAGGCTCAGAGGCACTCTTTCTCTCGAAACCCATGTAGGAACTCTGAAATAAGTAGAAAAACGTGAGAATGCACGCCAATTAGGCAAGCAGAAGACAACTAGTGATCAGGAGTGGCACACGGAAAAACTTAAGGGGCCCTGGAGTGGCCAGAACGGGCCTTAAGAATAGTCAGATAATTCTGTATTTGTAAAATCAAGCAAAGAAACGTTGGCTGTTATTCTATACGACCATTTTCTCATGCGCGAGGAAAGAAAGCATTTAGGAGACTCTGGAGTCACCCTGGAGACCCGTTTCATTACATTTCATGACGCTATTTTTATCGTACAATCATACCCTCGCCTAACGATCATAACACATCAGCATGGAAGACGTCAGGGCTGGTTGCTAGCATCGCCGAAAGCCACGCTTCCCAGGGCACGCTCATAGGTATAGACAGCTCACGTGTCTTTGGTTGCACCACTGCAAGACATGGGTAAGAGAACCGGGGATGAATAGGGGCAGGGGCTAAAACCTGCATGTTTCTGAAAATTTAGCGTTGGTCCTTTGAGCGTTCACTGCAAAAATAGTCCATTGACTACCATCTTTTGCTTGGTTGGGTAATGGGCCGCTGGGCGCATGGGTCGTAGGGTTTTCCACGGCACGCACATTGGTCATGGGTTTTGTCGAGGTCTTTGGAGAAAAGGGGATCGGACAGCCCGTTTGCCTCCCATCTCGGCACCGCCCATGCTCATTTTCAGGTAAGTATAACAATGTATATATCGGTTTATTCATGCCCTGAACATCTATGCCAAGAAACGCACAGACGAAGCACTCAAGTCATTCAGTCTTTCATTGAATGTCTTAAAAATCGGCTCACGGCTGTTCAAACGAAACGCAATGCACGAGTGTCATTCACTGGGGTCCTACCAACAAGGATCACTTGTTAGCTCGATGAGATTGGGACACGTGTATGCTCTTACCTGAAGCCACTAAACTTCACCAGTATAAACATGCCATCTTTGCTAGTGGCATGTCTGAATAACTTCAAACGGTATGATTTATGCCTGTAACAGAGCACGAGCATTTGTAAAACACAACACATGTTGGTTGCCTTCTGACTGTACCAAACAGGTAGAGAAACATACGTTAAGCCGCGCGTATAGGAAACCAGACGTACGGGGTTCGATATGCTGCCTGGTCCAGCCTTCCTGCCACGGCAGACGCCATAAACTGGGAAGAGAAGGCTGACCACTGAATTGGGATTGCCTGCATCACAAGTCGGTGGGGAGCTAAAGTCGTCCACCGGTAAAGGAAACCAACCCCCTGCAAAAACACGTAACCCAGACATATGCGAGACGCGCGTCAAGATTACCAAAGATCAATCACGCAAAACCCGTCAACCCTGTTCACGTGTCTGTTCACACATAAAATGCATGAATACGATGTCATCAAGTCTATGTACCAAAAATCTATCAGTTCCTGGAGTGCCACCTTTTTGGCCGCCATGCTTTCTTCCATGAAGTGAATGTCACTTTCCATCACAAGCTAGCATTACATCACTTGGTCAAGGGACGTTATTAGAAGGGAACACTTTATTCATCGCAGGTCCCCAAATCGCAAAGGCAAATAATACAGATTTAAGAGGAATGGCAAATGAATGGCTTTCTTAAAGATGGGTAAGAGACGGTAATAAAATGATGAGACGAATCCCACATTGCTTGTACTTGTTATGTATTGTGTGTCGCGTATACCCTGAACCCACCACCAAAATAGCGTCATGTTTGTTTTCATGCCAATCAGACCCACTGACCCTAGTGTTTAGAGCCAGTACACCGGTTATGTCATATCGGTAACACCTGACCAGCCCGAACGAAAGCCAAAGGCTTACTAAGTATGAAACAGAAGGCGTTTTTAAAATGTTTCACTCGATCAACCCGCGCGCTTGCGTATGAAACAGAAGGCGTTTTTAAAATGTTTTACTCGTTCAGCCCGCGCGCTTGCTAAGCAGTCTAGGCCGTTTATCTTACAGTTTTGTAAATTGACATGCGGAAAGAATGACCATTCAAAGCATCAATAATTATTGGCAAGGTGGTGAAATACTTGCATCTGGCAGTCGAAATTTCATAACTGCTAATGCGTGCTAAGGATGAACCAAAAACACCCAAGATTAAATGTACATCATTCTTCAACTTTTGAACAGCACTTTTGAACAGCACACCGGAACCCACGATCAAAGGCCTGTTTGGGGGGTATAAGGGTCTAAAGAACTGACTGTAGGTCACGTGAAGAATCGCGGCCCGCAGGGTCGTGACTTAAAATACTACTCAGAGGTCCCCTTGCATCGTTTTAGGATCACCCCCTCCCCCCCCCCCCTGAGACAATCGGTCCGAGACCACGAACACCGAACAGTCGGCTCCATGTCCGTCTGAGCCCTTGAGACCCATTTCCCAAGCAGAAACAAGGCCGGGGCTCGCGATTTGTAATGTTCGGGGTCCCTGGTACAATGAAGGGCTTCTGTGTCGGTTAGGGGCCACCGTCTCGAACTGTGGCGGCAAGTGGCCCCGAGTCAGAGCGATTTTGAGGGGGCCCAAAGAGGGGCCGAAGGGTCTCTCGACACCAAATATGGACCAAAGACTAACATAAGAGACCAAATACTAATATAAGATTAGAAGAGTCCGAAGGGCTGGCTGTAGGTCACATTAAGGACCCCGCTCGTAAGGCCGTGATCTCAAATGTCAGTAAAATGATCTTTAGCACCGATGGAGACCCCTGAGACAGAAAACTCCTCTATTTCGGTCAGAGATCGCAAACAACGAACGGTCAGCTCCGTGTTGGTCTGAGCTTAATAAGAAAAAACATGTCTTCAATAACAAATGGGTCATATGAGGTGATTTGGGGGGGGGGGGATTTTACTATCAGGGTGTCCTCTGTCAATCCTGTGCCCCCCCCCCCCCTTTACGAAACCTCTGGCTGCGCCCCCTGCTGCTCTCTATTGGTCAAAAGGTACACGTTAAGCTTTTAGTTTGTGATTTATCTAAAAGAGTGGCCATATTTTCGTCTGATTTTGCTACTTCCTTTGCAGGCTACGCCCTTGATTTAGGTGCTTTCCAGCACTACCACAAATCACTACAGTCCACACATTATGGTAGACTAAACTATGTTTTGCCTGAAATTGTGAACATAGAGGGTGGAAAGCATATGCAATATGCACATTTTCAATAGATTAATGAGTTGGGCCAGGTACCTAGTGTATTCTGTGTTATCTCATGGAAACTGAAATAAAAACAAAAGAATTGCACCTCCAGGTTACAAAAGACTGCTACATCAAGCAGCTGTGGAAGGGTCCAAAGAATTCATTGGTCGAAAAGTTGAGTTTTGATGCTTTATTAACTGACCTATCATTCTGACATGACGTGGTGTGAGCAGGCAGGAAAAGCTATTTGCTCCCCATGACGTGGAGGGCCACAAGCAGATTAGTCTGCAGATCACTATGCTTTTAGGGCCATGCTGGTCAAAGTTGCATTCATTCTGAAGTGATCAAGCACGCATTAATTGCAGTTTCCAAAAAGCATGGCTGTTCACATCTCGTGTGTTGATCTGCTGGTTGAAAGGCTTTAAGGTTTCGTGCCATCACTACTCGATATCAGGGTTCACGTTTCCTATTCCGTTAGGGAAGGGGGGGGGGGTTCTAGGCCCCCCCCCTCCGAAATCAAGCTACAGCTGTCAACTAAGAAATGAAATGGCGCCAAACTCAGAGAGAAATTGGTTTGTTGATGATCTTTGGGTTAGACTTCATCATTTCACAAGTTTTGGCAACCCCCACCCCCCCCAAAGCCCCCCCCCCCCCTACTCACTTTATGTACCTACGCCCCCACTCAGTGCATGCGGGTAAGGTGAGAATGGTGCACCCCATTGAGGGGTAAATGGGAACATGAGGTGAAAAGCACGCTAATGCCCCCCCCCCCCCCCCCCTCTTCCCGTCGACAATTACATGGGATGCAACGCTAAGACGGCCACACAACCACCAAGTTGGAAGAATTTGCATTGCCCCACATAACGCTGCGCACCTAATGCTTGCCCCCTTCCTC